CCTTTTGCAGCTGCAAAAGCAGAAAGGGATTGTATTCCATGAAGCTGTTCAATAAATGCTGTTGCTGAGGAACGTTTGCACGACGTAAGCAATGTGTTGTTCTTTTCTTTTTTACGATGATACAAAAAACCCAAACAAAAGAAAAATGTCCAGGAATTTTCTATTTTTATATCAAAATCTATACAGCTCAGTTATCTCACTGTGTTCTGCAGTTTCTTGAAAACAGACACATAACTGATACTGGTGCTTTAGTCTTTTCCAGTCTTGGAGCAAATCCACACACCCGCACACACAAACACGCCATCACATTCGCAAACAAAACAAACCAATAAAAAAAAACTCACAATTTTTTTTTTAATAAAAAAAAAAGTACATTATCCACTGGAGCCAGGCTTATCAGTTATGTTACATTCTTCTTCTTGTCTCTTATTTGATGCTGCTAAATCATTCATGGCAGCTCCAGCTCATCGCTAGAGGGCCAACAAGCATGGGGGAGCCAGTTGACGTGCCGTGAGCTTTCCAGGAGCTTCTGGACGGTCATCTCGTCAGTGGAAGAGATCCCAAAGGAGTGATAGGAAGCAGGAGGATGAGGAAGAAGGGCGGCAAAGAGGAAGAGCGGGAAGGGTTTTGGTCGTGGCGAGCAAGGCCGAGATCCTGTTCGTGATGGACGGCGGCAGCTGGGGAGAAAGAGACAGAAGGGCAGGAATGAGAGGCTGCATAAGTCACGGTGGGTTTGGATGTAAACAATGTTTGCTTGGTGTCCAGTTCCAACCAACAACTGATCTGCAGCTCCAGCGTGCACACTGTTCCGTCTGCAAGGGGAAATATGGATACTGTGGCAGCGATACATTAACATTTGTGTGCCACATGTTGTTTGTACTTAATACATGAAACATCCCCTGATTTATTGTCACAAATGAAAAGCATACAAATAAGTATTTACAGAGAGCATCTGCATTACATAAATGCTCCGCGTTTAGCCAATGCTAGTGCAGCCGGATTTATTTACCAATGGAAAAAGGATTCTTGTTCAGTCATCAACACTTCTCAAGAGCAAATCTTGATTAATTTGTGCTTAACTATAACTATATTAGGTATTAATTGTTGTCATTTATGCTATATTCATGTTTTAGTTTTTTTGTACAAGATGCTATATTTTTAGATGAGCTAAATGCTCTCACAATTCAAATAGTTTTGTTAGCTTACGTTGTTAAGAACATGATGGCCAAAATAAAATAAATGTTGACTCGTTATAATGGATTTCTGTATAAAGGTTATAAATAATAACTTACGGACTATAGATAGCTTCTTGAATGGATTCAGTGTGGAGACAGTTTTCATGTCACACAGATTCGATAAGGTAACAGATAATTCAAACGCAAATAACATCAAGGTGGGTTGCTGTCATCTTAAACGGCAATAATCTTTAAAATTTCACAGCAGTTCATGCAAAACCTTTGCACCATCATCAGTTTTCTATTGCATGCTGTTTTTTTCAGCAGAAATTTTAGGATTTTTTTCCCCCAGTAACTGACCCTGAATACCCAGAAGTGCTCTCATTACATTGTACAAAAGAAAAACCTGAAGAGTTTCATATAAATAACCACATAATAAGAAATGACAGCAGTGTAAGGTTTGTAGCATTAATAGTATAAGTTTTTTTGCTTTTTTTTATGGCTGCAGAGATTCACTTTGGTCTTGGTTGTGTTCAAACTTGCTGTAAACTCATCAGTCGTGTTGAACTTCAACTCTGTCCAAACTAAACATGCCATCTGTGGTGTACAGTTTTACCTTTTGATAACACTTACACAGAACTCACTTCAAAATGGCTAACAAATTATACTTTATTCAGAAATGATTAGTAATTTATTCAGAGAAGACTTTTTCATCCGGAGTTTATTTTTGGAAAAATTTTACCCTGGTGTTTTCAGCTCTGTTGTGTTTCCACTGCAGTTTGAGCTACAGGATGGATCAGGCAAATGATGTGTATTTCTTTTCCTCGGCTGCCAAAGTGTTACAGCCATAGACTGAATATGTTATGGACTAGAGCATGACCGAGATGGAAATTCTGGCAATTGCCGATACCGATATTGGAAGAAGGCGACCGCTGATAACAGATATAATTGCTGAAAATCTTTTAGCTTTGTCCACCTCCAAGAATCTACGAAAACAGCGAGTTCTTGTTTATTTAGCATGGCTCTTAGCAGCCAGGAAGCTAAGCAAATCAGATCCACACTATACGTTGACTCACACTAGGTTTACAAGTGATGCACTGGTCATAAAAACAGTCTTACTAATGTGCGTTCACATTTTCAATCCTCCACTATTCACCATAAAGTTATCAAGTGAGTTACAAAGAGATAAATAAAGAAACACCCTTCACTGTTCATTGTTTAAACAGTCAGTCTGTTTAAGATAATGTTATAGCACTGATATATATTAAACCACTACGTTAGATTTATTGTTAAGAATAGATTTTTACCAGGCAATAGCCTATGCTAGTTTATCTAAACGTTAGCTTGCTACCTTGACAGGCACATAGCTAATGACAAGTGGGTTGGAGTATTGAAGATAATTTATTATTGTTGATTTATTTTACAGCTCAGTTAAAATTAATTTACCATGCTCTGTTCAGCAAAATACTCTCTTCAATTCAATTCAGTGTATTTATATAGCCCCAAGTCACAACAGAAATCATCTCAGGACACTACACAGTATTGCTCCCTGCTTCCTCTGTGCTGAATGTGAAAGTGAAACTTAAGTGAATGGCAATGAAAGTAGTCTTCATGTGATTACTGATTTTATTGGATTCTTACCACTGATTAGCAATTTCATAATCTTGTACTGTCATCTTAACTATGTCTGACTATCACTTACTGAGTACCAAACCATTGCCTGGCTATTATTTTTTTCACTGATGTAGTGAAACATCATACCATAACCAATCATTACTTAATCACTACCTGACCATTACCTACTGGTTTGTTCTTGTGGTAACAAACCAGTAGTCCCTAATAAGGCTTGTCTGTGTGCTTCCCACTAAGTACTTGTTAACTGCCCATTAGCTCCTGATTCATTCTGCTTTGGTTTCCTTTGTAACTACCCATTAGTTATTGATTAGTTCCTTTTCATTTACAAGGTAACTAACCAGTTGTCCCTAATAAGGCTTGGCTGTGTGTTTCCCAGTAAGTACTGGTTAACTACCCATTACCTCCTGATTTGTTCCTCTTTGGTTTCCTTGGTAACTACCTATTAGTTCTTGATTAGTTCCTCTTCATTTACAAGGTAACTAATCAGTAGTCCCTAATAAGGTTTGGCTGTGTGTTCCCCAGTAAGTACTGGTTAACTACCCATTATCTCCTGATTCGTTCCTGAGGCGTTCTCTAGTAGCTAATCACATTTTGTGTACCTTATTGTAAAGTGTTACCCGCAAAGGTCACATTGACTGTAGGGATTTATTAAAATCTCAAGTAACTCTACTAACTTGATGTGCCAAATAAAACAGTAAAGTTGAATTTATTTATCTACTTTAATGGGGCTCTGTGGAGTTTAATGGGTGTGTTTCTCGGTGTGCATAAATTGTGTTTTGTGAACTCAATAAAAAAAATCAATTGAATAATTAAACCAAGCATTTGTAGGTAAAACACTATGAAGTGGCTGATATTCCAACAAAATGCACAAAGACCCAGGATCCACCCATGAGCAGGTTCTCTTTCTTCTTATTAGCAGTCTGTGAACTCTGTGGGGTCTGTTTGGCTGGCTGGGAGTCAGCTGCTGATTAATTCTTCTCATTAACATGCCGAAGGCAACGGGGCTGCAGACTGATCACAGAACAGTGGCTATCGATCTGCTGAAGGTGCAGGTTACACCACCTCAGGCAGAACATGGCTTCTGGAGATGAGGGGTGCTAATGAACATTATAGGCTGCAAATACTTAATGTTTAAAGCAAGATTTAAACTCATTTCTTTTTTCCTTTTTTGGTCAAAAACATTTGTGTTCTGAGTTTTTGGCAGCAGAATGAAAACAGTATACTCACATTCGTGTCAAGTTGAGTGATCGTCCATTATCTTCTTGTATCTTTAGCAGTAACAATACTGATTGTGGTTCATTCTGTGTACACGTTGCTACTTTCACTGAATAATTCCTAACCAAAAAAAACAAAAAAACATCCTTCATCTTGCCTCCAGTTTATACAACCAGTTCAACTGGTCCAAACTGGAGTCCATCCAAAGTGTTGAGGAAGATTCGTTGGCTTCTGCAGTCGAGGTGCGCCGACAGCTTTGATTCAGACGGCAGAACGATGGAACAATCCAAAGTATGTGTTTATTGAAGGTGAAGATGGGCATCTTTATTTTTATTCTGGGAAGACAGGGAAGTGGGAAGCTCCTTTGGAAGATCAAAGACATTCTCAGTAACATCCTGAGGGCAACAAAATAAAGTTCTGGGAGAACAACAAGGCCGGAAAAGAGCAAAAAGCACAAAATAATCTTCTTTAAATAAATCTTCTCTGCACCAGCACCTCCCAACAGAACGCAGCTCTCAAACCTCTCAGAGATTCAACGTTCATACCCGACAGGTAGGATCCTCCATTTTGTCTGAGAGGTATCAAACAGATTCAGCTGAGAGAGAGAGAGAAGAAGGAACAATGGAGGCCAGGGCAGCCTGCGGGTCCCGCAGAAAGAATTCATGTACAATAAACACAGTCACAGGAAATTCAAAAAATCTGCTCCTCAGATTATTCCAGAGAGTTAGAGACACTTTGCCCCAAAGGAGGAGGAAATGTTGACTCAACCCTTTCGTTCCTCCCTCCTTCCATCCAAACCATTAAAGGCACTCCACATTGGCCTCTCGGAAGCACTTTTTCAGCCATCCCTTCATTCGTCCAAAAAATGCTGCAGAGGGTCCCATTCTTAAAAAGAACCAAAAGGGCAAGATAAAGGTCAGATTTTCTGAAGAAAAAAAAAAGTGACATTTTTGCCACTTTTTCAGTAATGTCTTCTTTTTTTAGATCCAATTTAAAGTGCATGGATGAGGTAAACTACTTCATAGTTTTTGTGTCTTTTTAATGTTTATTTTTTTGTATTCATTCTTTTATAAGAATGTCTTTTTGATTCCTCTTTCCTCTCGGTTTTATCCTCTCAGACAGGAACCATTCTGCCTTGCATCTGTTGCATTTGGGACAGCATACTCTGGACACTGGTCAGGATCTTGTTCTGGTGTGCTGCAGAGGAAATGCCGATGCGGGCCATGTCCCTAAGAAGAAATGGGAAAACAGACACTTTACAGCCAAGGACAACAATAACAAATGTACAAAGGTCAAATATGAATGATGATTTTTACAGCCTTCCAGTGAAAATTGGTTTGACGATTTAACTGTTCTGTAAGAGGCTTCTGTTGCCAACATGCTCAATCTAATTTTACAGTTTTTTTAATTAATTGAAATGTTAAAGAAATGAGACAAAAATATTGTGGGCCAAAAGAGAGATTAGCATATTTAGATGAACACATTTGGCTTATTTATGTGTTTAACTCTACATAATTAACAATAGGAAAACAAACAGCAGCATACTGAAATGATCTCAGGTGCTTCGGTTATTAGGATAAGCTGAACATTGTTGCAAATTAGGTTAAAGACAGAAAAATCACAAAGCAACAGACATGTAGATTAATTTCCAAAGCTGTTTCTAGGAAATGTTCCTACCAAA